ATCATTCGATAAAGAAGTTGGTCATATTATTTTATCTAAATCAGGGTACCATTATTAAAACCAAGATAAGGCTTAGCTCTGTATGGCTACAGACCTCATCACAAATCATCAAGGGCTCAGCCCCAAGCATAAGACCCAAGAATTCAATGTAGAGTCAGTAGGTAGTCTCATGAAGTAAGATTTGAGTATTAAGGCTTTTACAGTCTTAAGTTGGACCCGAGAGTACCTTTCCTGGAATCGTCCATGATGTCTCTCACACCACAGAAGTGCGAGCAGGCACAGAAGCACTGATGACTCGGCAGGGCCTAGGTGTGCTTCTAAGATGCCTTCCGGCGGGAATCAGAATTTAGCTGAAGCTATCTATACCTCAGTACAGACCAGTTAGGGTGCCAATTTGGCCACAGATGGAAAATCATCGAAGGCCGGTATCTAACAGGTCCCCAACGAGGCAATAAGTAACCTCTAACTAACAGTTTTGCTGCAGATGCCAAGAAGGCAGGATGACAAACATCAAAGAAACTTCTGGGTACTAGGTTTAACATTAAGGACCAATCTTCCATATGTGCATATGCACAATCTCTTTAACATGTGATTAAGGCTCCTTCAGTCAAACTGCACAATATATTTCTATAGAAATGTTACTGTTAAATATTCATTTATTTAGATAATATATTCAATTTTTAAAGCTGAATATAAATGAATTGTCTGCTACAGTTTGCTGTACTCTAATTAGACCCAAATATCTAAGGGAAAAAAAATAGGTGATCTCTCCAAAAAGAAGTGGGGGGGGGGGCGGTAAGGCAGAACTAAGAATTAGTAGTATTACCTTTATGTATAAATCATACCTACTTAAATTATTTAAATCAGATAAATAAAAACAAAGTTGGGCTATTACTTAGGAAACATCTAGATTTGAGACGAAATGACTTTGGTTAAAGTCTCATTTCACTTCTTACCTGCTGTTTGTTTTCTTATAGAAAATCATGCTAGGCTTTAGTCAGTCTACATTATGAGAATACTGGCCCCACCTACACACCCCCACAGGGATCACCTGGGGATCAAAAGATAATGCTCTGTAATTAATGCCAGTGGAACAGTCGCGCGTGGCGCCTCTACACCTCTCCCCTCCACTGCTACCACTTCTGCCCCCTCCGCACCACTACCCTTCTTCCTCCCTCCCTCCCACTCCCTCAGGGCAGCTGGCTTTTTATATGATTTGTGTATTGGAGTTCCATGTACGATTCTGATTGGGAAAAGCATTCTGCTAAAAATAAATAAATAAATAAATTTGAAAAAAGATACACTATACAGGAACTGTTTCCTCTCATAAACAACTAAAAAAAAAAAAATCAGACATTGTGCAATTATTCTTAAAATTATTAAAATTTAACGGATTTTTCATGCCAAAAAGTATCCATGAGATACATATAAAACTACTTCAATAATGACTGGTGACTCATCAAATTGATTCAACTAAGGAATATCTGAGATTTTTATAATGCAATTAATGAGTGAAATTTGTTCTAAAGAAATTTCTATATAGATTCAAAATAATTACGTTCTGATTACAGAATGGTTAGTAAGTCCCAGAACTACTTGCAGAAACACAATTATAGCTGCATTTAATACAAACTACATTTTAAAACAGCTTTGGATATTGGGAATACTACATTTTAAAAATACAACCCTTTCTGCAATGTTAAGAAAACAGGTGATGGCAGTGTCATAAATACATATAATCGGTTGAGCCACAGCTTTAGCTTGACAGTGTTCAAAAAAAGAAGGTAGGAAGGGAGGAGGAGAAAGAGAGAAAACTGGGGGTTGGTTGGGCGGGGCGGGTGCGGAGAAGGATTGCACAGTAGACACAAGATTAAGAAGTCTGTTCTGTTTTACGTTCTTGAGGATGGACTGAATACAGAATAAAAGGGCTCTCTCACATATGGCAAAAGATCAGCCTCTGCTCCAGAGAAATAAAATAATGGACTAGAAATTCATGCTAGTTTTCTCCAAACTGCATCACAGATTTTCATGAGCCTCTCTAGATTTCTAGCCTTACATTTCTTCTTTGCTTTTATCTTGGCGCCTCCAGCGTGGACATTCTTCAATGTCTATTTCTTCTGTTGGATTCACAGTAGACTTTAGCATGAGCAAAAGGGGTGCATGTAAAACAGTGAAACAGGATCCCAAACCGAAGTGCAAACCTGCTGGTGTGCAATGATGCTAAACTACCAAGAGAATACGAAATCTGGCCTCACTAAATCTTTTCCTTTTAGGCTTACATTTATTTATAGAATATTGAGTGCTGGCAAAATCCTGGCCAGATGCAAGTCTGGCCAGCACCGGTTTCCTTGTTTAGAAAAACGCCATAGGGGCGCCTGGGTGGCGCAGTCGGTTAAGCGTCCGACTTCAGCCAGGTCACGATCTCGCGGTCCGGGAGTTCGAGCCCCACGTCAGGCTCTGGGCTGATGGCTCAGAGCCTGGAGCCTGCTTCCGATTCTGTGTCTCCCTCTCTCTCTGCCCCTCCCCCGTTCATGCTCTGTCTCTCTCTGTCCCAAAAATAAATAAACGTTGAAAAAAAAATTTAAAAAAAAAAAAAAATAGAAAAACGCCATAACTTTCTTAGTCAGATGTCACTCATATAGAGGGTGTATTCCATTAACAAAACCCAAACTCATAAAATAGATCACTGTTTTTAAAATGATGCTTGACTTAAAACTTCTTTTCCTAGAACACATCTAATGTATAATGTGAAAGAGAAGACTAGTTCATAAAACTGAGTTGTTTAAAAGATTTTGCACAAGGAATCCTAGTATTCATAAGGCTCCTCTACACAAACCTCAAATTTTTGACAATGAATGACAGCCGTATCTGGCCCATATCAAGAAGGGACAATTTCGTATATAGGGTAATAATAACAATCTGATACGGAGAGACTTTAAAAAAAAAAAAAAACTCTCAAATTTTCTACTCTTCAGAACAGTTAAAAATTTAAATTTAAAATTTAACTTCAGAGCCCTAACTTCAACTATGAAACTCGTTTAGACACTCTAAAGTCAACAGTTATGAAAAAACATAACAAGTGCTATAATTAATTGAAGATCAAAGACCACCTAATTCAGGAGTAAAACTTCAAAACAATTTCCTATGAGAAGCAATACTGAACCATTCCTTCCCTCGAAAGAACAACCAGCGGTGGGGACTCTGCAGGTCGGCCAGAGCCCGGCCCACCACCACAGCATGACCCTCCTCCCTCGTGCTGTAGAACAAGCTTATGCAGTCGAGAGCATCCTTCTCAAAAAACCAGTCCTCCCAGCCCACCACAATCACAGGGGTCGAGAACAGGACAACGACACTTTAAAGTGCCGACCAGCGCTTCTGCGGTGAAGCCAGAGGACTGAGGATGGGGTCATAAAGCCTGGGTTTTCATGTGATCTTTCTTTGTAGGCATTTAAGCACTTCTGCACCTGCTTGAACATTTGTGAAAAAGAGATTGCTCAGAAGCAGCAATGATGTAGGAGAAAGTGATCCTAGTTTCAAGTCCCCAATGCTCTAGAACTTGACGACAAGAATTCTTGGCAAAGCTGGAATCAAAAGGTTTACATGCAAAGTTCTGCTGTCAGTTCCTTAATGCACGTGCCCTCAATGATGCAATACCCCCCAACAACGGGTTTACAGTCTGAGGTCTATTTCACAAGAAATATTGATTAATCAGTAAGTGGTAATGGTCTCTGTGTACACACAGTGATCTACAGAAATGATTCACGAAGGAGGAATCTGTCTACACAGGCACGATACAATATACCTGGGCTTCAACCAGGCAGGCCCCTGAGCCTCTAGCCCTACCATTCAGTGCTCAGTTTTCATGCTCCTGGAGTCCAGGATGTGAATATGTAAGTTACTCACTCATTCAAGACTCTACTAAGGATTCACATCATCTATAGACTGAGGACATTCAACTGTGTATCTCCAGCTCAGATTGTCCTGAGTTCTTGCCTCATTTTACCAACCGTCTCTCTATTCCTGCCTGCTCATACCACCCATGCCCCGAACTGAACTTTGGACAGAGGCCACCCTAAATCTTCTCCCCTCCCCAGCCTTCCCACGTTCGTAACTAGCATCACTATTCATACCACTGCTGAAGGTAACACTTGAATGGCTCTCTTTCCCTCCTCACGCCCCAAATCCTCTCTATCACTTCACAAGCATCAGAGGCAAATAACAAATACTGCCAACTCTCCTTCTACAGTAGACCTCAAATCTGTCCACTCTTCTCCATCTTCTCTAGCACCATTCTTATTCAAGTCACTGTCCTCTTGTGCCTAGAAGAGACTCTTACCTGTTCTCTTCTTGCCTTCTTTTGCTGATCCACAGTCTATTCTCCACACAAGAGCAATCTTTTTAAACACAACTTCGATCATATCACTCTCTTAACTGAAAACCCTTGAATGACTCTCAACTGCACTGTAACTAAAACCCAATTCCTTACCAGGGCCCTTAAGGTGCTTCATGCTTTGGTTCCTGGCTGCCTGCCTCTCCAATCCTATCCTGGGCCACTCTCCTCCTCACTGACTCCATTCCAGCCAGGCTGACCTTCTTACAGTTACTCAAATGTCCCATGATGACTCTTTCTTCCCCAGGACGTTTACGCAGGTTATTACCTCTTCACGAGCATTCTGTGTACGGATGGTTCCTTCCTATCCTTCAGGTCTCAATGGAATGGCATCTTCCAAGAAAGGCCCTCCCTGACCACCTAAAGTGGGGTATCCATTTTAAATTTCTTTACAACAATCCTGTTTACTTCCTTCTTAACAGCCTTTTTTTTTTTTTTTTTAATTATTTATAACTACATATTTACATGTTTACCTAGCATCTTGTTTGGCACACAGGAAGTGTTTTAACTTTTTCACTGAATTCATTACAAACATTTTCAAATTACAAGCATTACAATTTTCAAACATTTCCTACTGACTAATGTAAGAGGCCATAAAAAAATATCTTACCTTGTCAATTTTTTTCTTTTTAACAGGGGGGTCAAACCTATCATTGATTCCAAAATACTGAGTAAGCTCCTTCCACTGGGCTTCACTAGAGGTCTGGGCACTGAAAGAAGAGACAAGAACTCATTTTTAGTGTTTTTAATTGGCCACCACAATTACGAACTACAGAAACTAGTTCCTATGTTTCAGAGGTAAGTAGTTCAACTATTGCTATAAGTGTTACAATACTGTCCAGAATAGGCGAACATTTTAAATTCTACCCACCTTTGAGACTCTTCTTCATTCTTCAATTTACCTGAAAAGAATTCACAAAGTGTCAATACCTGAGTATTCATTTGTTATTTCAAAATTATGTTTATTAAAAATTGTTGAGCTCAATTAGTCACAACTTAACATTAGCACTACTGACAACTAACTTGAATTAAAACAAAGCACCTTTCCTGGAGCGTTTTCTTTTCCTTCTTCTGAATCCTGATGCTGAGCTTTTCTGTTCAGAATGTTTTTTATGCAATTCTTGAAATTTCTATATAAAAGTTAAAAAAAGAAAAACAAGAAACAAATACATTTTGAAGCAAGGCACATATTCAAAAAATTACAAACATGTTACGAATTAAAAACATATTCTAGCATTTATAAAAATACAAATTTAACAAAAGGAGTTCAGTCCTTCTTGAGATACTCTATTCTCTAAGACTCCTTCACAATCTGAGTTTTTATCTTCATCTATTTCTACCTAAGTCAATCTGATTATCTGAGAGTAAAATTCAATGACTCATACAGATGACAAAGAGATCAAATTAGGATAGAAACTCATGTATTATGTTAGGCAAAGTAGCTAATCCTACCAGTTTTTTTCTTCCTCTTTTTATAAAAAACAAAATAAAAATGAAAGCAAGTACCTGAGTGGCCAACGGGTTGACTGCAGACCCACAGAGTACTCTGAGTCAATCTTCCCTACCTCTCATCTCCCCAGAACACAGGCGTTCTGACCACGGCAGAAACACACACAGGAGCATGCACAAACACACAGGCACCGGCTTCAATAAGAACACATCACAGAGAACCTACATTCCACATATTGAAGGGAACTCCAGAGGGGCACTCTTCATAGGCGTTTACATTTGCCTCCACGTCGGGTTTTGGTCCATCTGTAGGGAAATCTGAGATCTCTGTTTTTGTAATGGCCCCATCTTCGTTATCTTCCTGTAAGTTAAGTCCAGAGTTCTTTAATGGGGCTTCATCTTCAGAATTCAACTCAATATCACTTTCATTTAGGCCAGGAGGTAGCAGCCCACTCCACATCTTTTCTTCTAAAGGGAAAAAGATGAATGTAGACGTACAAAGTAGAAATGGAAAGAAATTTAAAACCCCAAGAGTCTAGCAATTATCCCAATGGTTTGGGAACAGTCATTCCTTCTTTTAATCTATGCTTTCCTTCTTTTAATCTAAAATGGGATGGGATGCACCTTCCATATTAAAATAATTGAAATCTTTGCTTGGATAAATTTTTTTTGGTCTTGTTTAAATCTGTTATAAGACACACCTACAGATGAATGACTTAAAGAAAATAGGACCTGGATCTCTAATATATGGATAATTTTGTCTAAAAAAAAAAATAAATTCAGTAAAAGCATTCATTGTTCAAGAATGTTAAGGGTCTAAAAACATACACTCACACAATTTAAGATTTATAATATTGTATTTCAAGCTAACACAATTAAAGAAAGAAACTAAAGTCGGATTTTCACCAGTATTTGAAATTGGAACTTTCAGGGGACTTATTGTCTAAGGAGTAGAAGAACAATTTTCAAAGGAAAAATTTTAGGCTGCGCAGGTAGTTTGAGGAAAGCATGGTGGTAAAAAGAATGTCCTAGTTTTTATTTTTACACTGTTTGCTAAAATAATACCAAATGGAGTATAATCCTAACCATTTAATAAAAACATATAGCTTTTTTGAATAAAAATACTGTATTTAGGAAACTAGGGTGAAAGTTCAGGATAATATTTATCATTAGCTCTATGGCCCATTGGTAGAGAGAATATTAACCGCTGTTAAGTTTATCAAAAGTGATTTTTAAAAATTGGAGTTACAAGCATTTGCTAAAATTACGATAATTGAGTACATTTTCACTACTAATCTCCTGGCACAGTCTATTCTAGCATACATATTCAGTCAAAACCACTTGGTTCAAAAGATGCCTTAAAAAAGAGAAGTTGGTCGTACTGCTCATGATTTACTATCAACTTCAAAGAATAAATAAAATGCAAGGATCGAAATATTTTTTGCTGAGTTTTCTGCCTCCTATTGTGATCAACCTAATGAGAAAACCATCACCATTGTCTCTGAGACAAAAAAAAAAAAAAGCATTACGGATTTCGCATTAATCTGAATAACGGATTCTTGATAACCTTTAAGGACCTCCTCCCAGGTCAAAAGAATCAGATCTTATTTCTGGCAGTTTGGGTGCAGCCTCATCAGTTGTTAGCCCTCTGAAATAGCCTCACCAAAATACTCTTTGGGCTTTTTAAGAAGGGCTCTGATAGCTAACTGCTCCAATTGTAATCCTCACCCCACCACACACCAGCAAATCATTTTCACCACCTTTGACCCGCAGTTTTTTTCTTCTGTGATACGAGGATAATTATATTGGGTACAGGGTTATTCTGAGAATTAAATGAGATAAGCTATGAAAACGCTCACCACAGTTTGGGAGGTTCTAGGGGCTGGATCAATGCTAAGCTCTTCTTGCTATTAGTATTCCTGTGACCACACATTACATTTTTATAATTTCTATTGTGGGTGGCGACATTCACAAGGTAGGTAGTTTTGAGGTTGCTAAGGTGGAGGTGCATTCGCTGCATTGATACAAGTCATTTACTTCCCGGATTTCCACGATCTAACAGAAATTTCTATAAAAAATACTGGTGTCTGGTTTCCTGAATGGAACAATAAAACCGGAAGCAGGAAGATAATGGAGCCCAAGTTTCAAGGCTCCTCTTTTGCACAGGTCGTTCCTTCCAAAGCATTATACCTAATTTTCTATTTAGAATCTGTATTCCTTTTCTTAAGGAGGAGACCCAAAATTACATAAGCTCCAAGCCCCGTAAGGCCTGGGTCCATCCTAAACCTGACCTGGGGGTTTTAATAGTTGGAATGGGTAATAGATGCTTTGGTAGCACAAAAGACATCACGTGAAATATGCCACTCTTGAAAAATGGACGTTATGCTATCAATAAAAATATTTCTAGCGTTCTGAGGAGCAGACGGAGGGGGGGAATGATAAAAAGCACCAACGTGACTTTGCCGCTGACCTGTAATATACCGTTAGGCTCGTTATCCATTTCAGAACTTAAGGACAGTAACAAATTTCAGATTTAGCTTTCTTAGCACAACTGGGGCTCTATGTTTGAAGCCACTGTTTCTCTCCCCTGTCCACAGCGTCTTGTGCATGGCCACTGTGTGCCGGGCACTCTTTAACACACGGCGACAGCAGTGTACAAAACGGGCAAAAATACCTAACCTCGTGGAGCCGACACTCTACACACACAGCAAGCCTCTGTCCGTCAGCAGCCAAGTACGACTTGGCCCACGCCGTCAGCTGTGGCTGCTAAGGAAAGGCAGGTGCCTCTCTGACGGGCACAGTTTTCCCACTAGAGCACTACTTCGGCATCCCTACAGGGTGGGTCTACGCCTTGGGCATCCAAACGTGCCTCACGCTGGGGAGCACTGTCAGTTGCCCTGGAGTGGCCTTTCCCCGCCGGCTCTCCAGCATTTTTTGATCACTTTTAGGCTTCCTCACAATCATCTGTTTTTAGCGCTTGTTGATGTGGCATTAAGGGTTGTCTTCAGGAGGACACTGGCTGGTGTGATAATTCCTTGTGTGTGCCCACAGAGAAAAAAAGAAAAATCAAAATAAACTTTAAATGCCAGATTCGACATCCAAATCCATAAAATGAGACAAAATTCAAATAACGCACGTTTCTGAACTCGATTCCTGAACATCTTTAAAGGGATGTTCAAATGTCTGTGCCATTCTCCTGTGACTGTTTAAAACATTAAAAAAAAAAAAAAATAGACAGAGGGACAGACAAAGGCAACTCGACGACCACCGACAAGCACAGATAAGTCACTGAGGAGCCTGCAAGGTTGAGCTGTCCACGTGAGCAGCAGCCGAAGTGTAAATCAGCCAATATGGAGGGGCTGCTTCGCGACTTGCTTTGGGTTCACGTTTGAAAACAGTCTTTAAATTCGTAGCATCTATATGTCATTCACACGCTTCCAATTGTACTACGTTCGGCCTCCTGTTACCCCTGTTTTGGCTGCTCCAAAAAGTGACTCTCTAGTTCGTTGAAGCGTCCCTCACCCCGTGCCTTATTTTAAAGCAAGTCATTCCAAATTACCCTTTCAATGTGAAAACTATTCAGCCATTCTCAAGAGACGTGATACACGAGTCAGAGGCAACACTGATTAAACCCCAATACCCCAGTAGATAAGGTTTCTCTCTTCAACCCAGCCACCATAGCCAAGATTTCTAGTTTTCAGTAAGACTGCATGTCAGACAAAACACCTAAAAGATGCTCTGGAGAAAGCAAAAGGGACTCCAGTTACAACACAAGAAACAACTAGAAAGAAAAACAAATCAAGTCAATGCATATAAACAATGTGACAGAAACTCTTTTCCCGTTAATCCCTACAGCAACCGTTCCACTAGGAATTACTATCTAAATCCCTTTTAAGGTAAAGTAACTGACTTGCCTGATGCATTGTGATCTGTTTGTTTTAGAAAAACAGAACTGGATGGCTTCAACTCAAAAGCTTTTAGAGGGCAGAGTTTGAGCAGTAATATATTCTTGGAGACAAAGATTTGAGAGTGGATATGAAGAATGACCTTAGCCTGTAATTCTGTTATCATTTGATCAAGAAAAAATTTTTTCTCACTCTTTAAGTGCAGAAAGTTATCTAAGATGCTATACTAACTTGTATACATAAAACTCACAGTCAGAGGTGTGGGTAACAAGGTCAAATTTTCTGGAAGATCAGGCAATTGCCTGTCACCGAAACCTAATCTGAGCAGTTTAATGGGTAAAGGTCTCCTGTCTCTGATATTCCAGAATTTCAATTCCACTGTCACTATATGAAGCTGTCTTATTTCCCGTATTTTATATTCAATTAGACATAACCACAGAAATCTGAATTTTGTCTGATCTGAATCTAATCTTCACTTTTGTGTAACACTCATAAACCACCATCCACCATCAATGTTAAAACAATTTGCACGATAATCAGTTTCTGTGACTTGGAATTAGTTACTTAACAACACTTTTAAGTATGCATCAACATTCAGGTTCAACTGAATCAGAGGCCTGACTTCCAATTTAAGGTCCCAATCCGATTACCCAAACTATTTAGCAGGACTTTGTACGTAGGCGTATGTTTCAATGCGAGGCGGTATTTGTTTAATCCAGGCCTGGAAAACACGTCCCAAGACCCTGCATGGAAAAGACTGACAGTTCACCAATAACATTTGGCGGCTCGTTTTTAAGTCGGATGCCGCCGTGAGAATACTTACTGCAAGAGGGTGGCTCTAGAAAGGTACACCTCTTCCTGCAGGGCGGCACCACCCCGAGCTCGGCAGGCTCTCCGGCGGCAGGGCCACGCTCGGATCCCCAAACGGGAAGAATCCCATCCCCGGCACAGAACTAAGCGCCGCACAATCGGGGGCAGGACGTCTAGCCTGCTGACACTGGCACTAACAGTAGCTCTTTCCCCGGGATACAGCAGTTGTAAACAGGCGCCTGCTTCCCCGAAGGAAAGCCTCTCCCCTCTCCCCCTCACTTTGGGGTGGGACGGAGAACCCCTCTGCCACCAACAATCTCGGGAAGGCGCTGCGACGCCCCTTCCGAGCAAAGCAGAGGCCAGCCCCACCAACGCTCCCGTGGGCCCCGGCGGGGGCTTTGCTGGCTCGGCCGTGAGGCTGTGAGGCCGCCCATACTGGCTCGCCCGCTCCCCGCACCCGGCCCTCCCGGACCCGTCTCGTCGGAGCCCCGGCCGGCGGAGAGGCTGCCCGGCGATCAGCGGTACTCACCCGTCAGGAGCCGGCCGCCCGGCAGCCATCTTATGACCCCGCCAACACCGCGCCTTCTCATTGGCTCCAGCATCTCGGCCAATGGGCTGGGGCCGTTCTGGCCTCGGGGTCGTCATGGCAACCGGCCGCGCTTAGCTCCGTTTCGAAATCTGTTTGCAGCAATGGATTCGTCTCTTTCTACTTCTTTTCTCTTACCGTTTCCCCCCTTTCTTCTAAACGTTTTTAAAGTCTTTGGTTTTTTTTCTTCCCCATTCCCTGCTGCTCACTGGTGTTGGGGGTGAGGAAAGTATCGGCTTAGACTTTGAACTGAGTTCATTCCCCAAGGAGGGAGGTGCTCTCTAGGCTCTCCTGGGAACGTTTCCATTCATTCATCCTTTTACCCCTCGCTCCCTCTTTCTTCCCTGCCTTCCTTTTTTTTTCCTTCTGTACGTATTTATTGAGCAGGCACCGTGCCAGCCTTGTTTAGCGGAAAACAGTCCCGACTCCTGCTCTCCTGGTGCTTACCATCGGCTTCACTGACCAGATGTGTGACATTGGCTAAAACCTTGAGCCCCTTTTCCGTGACCGCCACTGGTTCGGGCCCCAGGGAGGGGCTTGGGGTAGCGTAGAACCTAAGAAAAAAGAAACCCAAAAAAGCGCTATGAAGGATATAAAGCAGTATAATGTGATAGTGATGGGAGTGCGCGATATTTTAGAAATGCTTCCATTTTTTGAAATAGTGTTCTGTAATAAGACTATTTTCCTATTTTCCAGTGTCGTGAGGATGATAAAAGAAAATACGCATAGTCCATAACACATTGCCTGGCCCACAGTAATATTAAGTCTTAGCTACCTGCTGTCACTGTTGGTAACATGATCAATAAAGCTTTTCTTTGAAACATTCTAAAAATGTGTAGGAATTTTTCATCGCACTCTAATATATCATGATTTAGTATAAACAGATGTTTAAGCTTGTTAGTTAGCTACCCATTACCTCACCCTCAGGTCCCAGAAGGATACGCCAGGTTTATGGAGTTTTGTGTAACCCCAGAATCATAGTAAAACCTGAATTGACAAGCTCAGGTCCCTAAAGTCCTTTCTCATGCTGACCTCTGAATCTAGAACGGAAGCAGGTCTGAGTGATTTCAGGATCTGTGTGAAACTCTCCTGGTCAATTGTGCCCAGCTTCCCAATAGCATTTCCCCCCAATCCAAATCTTTAACAAGTCAGGCAAAGAACTGATATGTTTGAAAACGTTGCTGTAGCTGTTGCGTTTGAGCCTCTTAATGGTGGGTCTTAGTCTGCTCAGGCTACCATAACAAAATACCACGAGGTGGTGAGGGGCTTAAACAACAAAAATGAATTTCTCATAAGGGCTGGGAAGTCTACGATCAAGGTGCCGGCAGGAAGATTTCATTTGGAAGCCTCTTCTCTTGGCTTGTGGGCAGCGGCCATCTTGCGGCGTGCTCAAGGTATCTCTTCATTTGGTGTTTGTAGAGAGAAAGAACACGTGTGCGCAGGTAAAAGCTATCTGGTGTGTCTTCTTACAAGGATACTAATCCTAGGGGATCAAGGCGTCGCCCTTATGACCTCATTTAACCTTAATTCCTTTGAGGGCCCCATGTCCAAACGTAGCCACCCTGGGGGTTAGAGTTTTAACACAGGAATTTGCAGGTACATAAACATTCAGTTCATAGCCAATGCTGTTGGTGGAAATGTGACCAGCATGGAGAAAGAGAGCACAGAGGGCGAAGAACTGAGACACAGGGTAGGCGGCAAGTGATGTTGACCTGTTCAAGAACTATCTGGATTGCTTCTATATATATTCCATCAAAGAGTCCTCATTATTCAGTGCATATAAATGTGCAAAGGGTAGAGGAGGAATATAATTATTCTAAAAGCCTACAAACAGCAGACCTCATATGAAAATATTTAGACAGTTGGAGCACCTGGGTGGCTCAGTCAGTTAAGCATCCAACTTTGGCTTGGGTCGTGATCTCGCAGTCCGTGAGTTCGAGCCCCGCGTCGGGCTCTGTGCTGACAGCTCAGAGCCTGGAGCCTGCTTTGGATTCTCTGTGTGTGTCTCTCTCTCTGCCCCTCCCCCACTCGTGCTCTGTCTCTCTCTCTCTCTCAAAAATAAATAAACATTAAAACAAAAAAAAGACTCAGAGAGTCCTACTCCAAAAAAATGTATTTTAAAATTTAAAATTTGAGAATTCTCAATCATCTGTTTATCACATTATTGGATTCCTATAATAAATGTAAATAGCTCAGACTTTTCTTCTGGCTCTGGTTGTAAGACTTCCAGTCTATGAATATCATTGTTTTGCCAGTTTTCTGGGGGAAATGTCAGTCATTTGATTTATTTTAATCAATAAATTTACCTTGCCTCCAGCAAATTCCTGCCCTGGAAACCTGCCAAACCATGCATTTTGTGAATGAAATACTTGTATTTGTGAGATTTCTATGAAACATAGAATCGTTGAATACCTTTTACTAAATCATAGTGATGTGATGCAGCCAGTGAATTGGGCTTGAATTGGGCTGCATCTGGCACTAATTTCAAACATGTACATTTCATTTAAATTCTCAAACATATCTTTAAAATCATAAAGCAGTTTTTCTTTGCCAAGAAATATTATAGTTTATGAAGGGTTTCCCCTATATTTAGTTATTTTTTTTCTTAGTGTGGAGATTACAAGTCACACTCATGTTATAAAAGATTAATTGTGGAGGTCTTTTTTGGTAGCTGTTAAATCTCTGATTGATGAAAATTTCCCCAAATATAATGAAATCCCTTAAATATTTCTCAGTTTGGAAAACTGAATATGACTTTGTTGAACATAGAATAAATGTCCTTCTTGCTGAAACTGAGAAAGAGAATAGTTAATTTCCGTCTGTACAAAATGCTTCATTTTCTGCACCGAAGAAAAAGTAGTCTAGTGACTTACGCAAAAAAATAGAAACAAGGGAGTTCTGAATTCTAGGAAATGTGTGACAATTTCTCTATGTGGATTTGTTGGCAAACTGAAGCATCCATAAACAAGGTTAGCCTTCCAAGAATATGTCGACCAGCTAACACCATGACATCAGCAAGAGTCGACATTTGAGGGAGCAAAATGTCTGTAATAAAGAATGTTGCCAAAGAAAAGCACTTTTGCTTTATTGGTCATGTCTGGTACTTTCAAACTCTTCAGTTCCAATAGATTGTACATGGGAAGGGAGGGATGGCAGGAGAGGAAGGCTTACAGAGCATTTCTGTATGCTAGATATTATGCAACTAATATACAATTTTATGAGGTAGTTCCTATTGAATCCATTTTACAGACAAGGAAATTAAGGCTTCAAGGGTTTAAGAAATTTCCTTAATGTGACACAGCTAGTAACATGGAAAACCAGGGTTTCACTGGACTCTGAAGCCCTTGCTTTCTTCCTTGTCACACACTCCCCCTTTTAAGGTGAAGTCCCTGAAGAATTCCAGCTTAGTACAGTCAGTAGCAAATCATAGACATCACTGCTACCAGGTGGGATGGGAAGCTCCCATCCTTTTCATGGGAGCTTATGAAAAGAGGGGCTTCAGGAGCGAAATGTGTCTTCTCTTTCCATTCCCCTTGGTACATAGTGACTGATTAAATGCCATTAGAGGCATCTTCTTCGATCATTCTGGGTTTGCTACATTGAAGTCTATATTAGTCTCCCTTTTCCTAAGTCCTTCATCCTCCAAAATAGCCCACTGCCTGGTTAATCTCTCTACAAGAAGGAACATGTGTAAATCTTTTAACACAGAACCTAGCATGCAGTCAGTGGTCAGTAAGCATTAGTTTCCTTCCCTTATACATAAAAACTAAGGGGTGTGTGTGTGTATGTGTGTGTGTGTGTGTGTGTGTGTGTGTGTGTTGGAGGGAGGAGGACTGGACAGGCAGAACACAGGGGATTTTTAGGGCAATGAAAATATGCTATATGATGACATAATAATAGACACATGTCACTATACATTTGCCCAAACTCACAGAGTATACAACACCAAGAGTGAGCTCTAATGTAAAATGCAGACTTTAAGTGATTATGATGTGTCAATGTGGGTTTAGCAATTGTAACAAATGTACCACTCAGTGGGGAAAATGGATTGTAGGGGAGGCTATGCATGTGTGGGGACAATGAATATGTGGAATATTCTCTGTACTTTCCCCTCGATTTTGCTGTGTACCTAAAACTGCTCTAAAATATTAAGTCTTTGAAATATCAAAAGAAGAACAATAATTCATTACTTGTGAAAATTTTATGAAATCCAAATTTTAGTGTCCTAAATAAAGTTCTGTTGGGACACAGGCACGAACAAATGAGTACACAAACACTGACAGATTATTGGATTAATCTGTCAACATCTCTGTCGTCCTAACTATGTGCCCAATGATCAGCGCTTTGCTAAGGTTTAAGGAGAATACAAACAGAGTATATGAACTGGCTTGTCAAGAAGTTTGTTGAAATGGCTAATGTGCTTATAATTTTAGGGGCGCCTGGGTGGCTCGGTCAGTTAAGCATCTGACTTCAGCTCAGGTCATGATCTCACGGTCCGTGAGTTCGAGCCCCGCATCGGGCTCTGTGCTGACACCTCGGAGCCTGGAGCCTGCTTCGGATTCTGTGTCTCCCTCTCTCTCTGCCCCTCCCCTGCTCATGCTCTGTCTCTGTCTGTCTCAAAATAAATAAAAACATTAAGACATTTTTTAAAAATTAATCATTTTATACCATAAGTACTGAAATTGTGAGGTCCATGATGTAAGTAGAAACTATAGTAGTTCTAAGAACAGAAAAATAAGTGAGGTGTAATTAGGCACATGCTATTTCCTTTGCCTCAGATACCTTTCTCTTTTATACCTGCTGACCTTCTTTTCATCCTTCAAAACCTAGATCAAATATTACCTTCTAAGTTAAACCTTCTCTGACTTATGCAGTTCATGCCTCCATAGTCCTAGGCCTTCATAATACTTGAAAAATAGCACAACTAGGGCTTTATTCCATTGAGAAACAATTAGTTGTCATAGGTCAGTCTACCTGAATAGATTGTGAACCCATTTGAAGGCACAGTCC